TAACAGGGAACTTGTCTACAGTAGTAGAATAACTGCAGGTTGTGTGAGGTTCACCCTTAAATCCTTGTAGAGGCAGCACTGCTGATGGCTGTAGCTTATAAACTTTAGAACATATAGTTAGTGTAAAAATCTGGGTTTGCAGACTGTTACACAACAGTGAAAAGGAAGAAATCATATGATACGTACTTCTCACTTTTTTGATGTCTTAAGACACACAGCGTATTGCTAAAACAAGCAATACATGTTTCTTTACCCAGATAATCTCAGGAGCATTCTTTGGCCTGAGGAAACTTGACAGACCCAAATACATACATATATATTGGAGGAGTTGTCTTGTCTTTTTCAAGTACTTTTGCAAGTTCTCTGTGTATTTGTATCTTTCCAGCATAAAACTTTTCACTTCATAATCAATTCACATTTAAATACCTCAGGAGACTTAGATATAACATCATCTAGTTAATTAATTTATAATAAGGGATTTAGTGGGTTTTGGGGGTTTTTTGAGATGTGTGGCATTTGAAAATATTTCACTTAACAGCTTTTTGCTGATTTTTTTTTTGTGCAATTGGATTTCTCAGTCCTGTTTAAGTCAGCTTTGTTTATGCAATTGTATCTAGTATTGACTGAGCATTCAAAGACTACAAATAAATTATCAATGAACTATGGACAAGAAGTTTTTTGTCTTAAAGGACAAGATGTTTAGCTGGCATGACAGGAGGTAATGTCTAAATTACAGAAGGTCTTGCACCATAAGTCACATGTCTGCTGTTCCGTAATGTGCCCTGAGATGCATGAAGACAAACTGATGCTTTTCTAGATGATATGAGGTCTTGTCTCTTTGGGGAAGTTACCATGCAGTCAGCTAACATATGATACCACTGTGCTATTCTCTCCTCCTGAACACTCTTGGTGCACACACGCAGGCACATGCGCACACACACACACACACACACAGAGGAGTCAAATACTATTTCAATACAAAGATAAATTCACCCTACCAGTTTATTTAACAACTGTACATAGGGAAAACTTAGCTGAGAATTTGTTGAAATCCTTGAAAGAGACAGGAATACTTTCAGCATGTTGACTTAGGCTTGTACTGAGTCATAAGGGTTGTGTGGATATATCAATTCCCTAGTTATTTTGCTAAGGACATTTGAGAGCCCAGGTGGAAAAATGTAAGCATATGCAAGGGAAATCAGCACAGCAACAGCCATGGTCAGAATTTGGTCATCACAAGAGTGGCCATTAAGAAACCTGTGATAGGAAGCTGAACTAGAACCACCTCCAACTCCTGGATGCACATTTCCTCTCTGAGAATTTTATTATAACGCATCAATGTGAACACTGACAGTCATGTTGCAGCAGCTGTTCATTATTTCAAGGTAAAAACACCATGTTACACAGCTACTAGGCATCCCTCTGTTACTGTCCCTGCTGCTCCTGCCTGTGCACCACGATGTATTCACGAGCCAGACTGTAAGCCCAGTGTGGTGATGATCTGCTGAAGTGAACAGAGGGTCAGTGGTAGCAGTTACAGGTAATAACTGGGCAGATAGTGATAGAAGTAATTTTCCATCTAACTGTGCAGCCTTGTGACAGTATGCTGCAGTCACACCAGCCGTAGCAGCCTTTGCTATAATGTAAACCTCTCCGCGGGGACTGAGCAATGCACTCCTTCTATGTTAGCAGAGAGAAGGGGTGAAATCAAGAGCTCCTTCAGTTCCTCTGCTTAAAAGCTCAGTTGAAGCCATCCAGTCCAGAAGAGACACAGCTTGCCGTGCTAATCACAGTAATCAGTGTTGTGTCTGCAATGATCCGAAGATCAAAACTTGGAAGGAAGACACTTGTCCATTACTTTAAATCTCTCTATTTCAGAGGATAACATTCCAAATTGTTTTTTTAAAAAAACCAGCTTTTGAGGAACTCTATATATGCAAAACTCTAGGTATTTTGCCAAAGGCATACCACTCTTCTAAGATGCAGCAACAACACCTTTTAATAACTAGTCATGTCACCATTGCAACAGCCAAAACGTTTGCCAACTACACTGCAGCTATCAGGCCCTACAAGTTACCAGATAACAGAGTCTATACATTTCTAAATAGTGCAAAGAACTTGCATAGCAGTGTGTTGCCCCTGAAGCTGAAGGAGTCAATTCAGCTTTGAATCTCCAGGGACAGATCTAATCAACATGAGATGTGCTGCTGCAGGTACAAAGTGTGGTTGGTACTGCACAAGTTGCTGTATCACAGATGTGCAGCACAATGCTCTCTCCCCCTTTGGAACCAATCTACTTATTGGAATCCAGGACTTTAGAAACTTTTTTGTTACTTTTAAATCCTTGCCGTTGGTTCTCCTGGTACAAATACACAGAGGAAGGGACCAGTCTGTATCTGCTAGAAGACAGCCCAGCAATCAGAAAAGCTAAGCTCCTTTGTAATGGCAATTGACTGGCCAAGCTACAGGAGGCTGGCAATATGTGAAAACCATCTGAGCAATGTAAACAGAATAAGCTATGTCACACTCAACTGTGACAAGACTGTGTGAACAAGCAGCTCCCCTAGACCAGCAATCTCGAGATAACTCATGAGCCATGATCTTTACTGAAGTAAAAACAAGTGGCTTGTTTGCATGCCATTTTATCTGAATAGCAAAGGTAGGACATTTATTTCATTTATTGAAAGTGCTGGAGATCTCAATTACTATTGAGACTAAATTCAGGATTTTTATTCCTGAAATAAAAATATTGAACTGGCTTACTTAAAAAGCTATGCATGTGACCATGTTTGTTTATACAAACATTAAAGTCCTCTAGCTTACAATTTAATTTCTGTCATTTCACCACACTACACTATGGCTTAAAAATAGATTCCTATAGGAGTATGGCCTCAGTTAAGATCTATTTCAGTGTTTATAACCTAAAATGCAAATTACTGTAATTCATACCAAGCTTTTACTGACCAGCTTCCATTAGATGCTACTAAAACAAAACAAAATAAAACAAAACGACAAAAAACCAAAGAAAATAGAAACAAATCTGAAAATTCATATGTACTTCTGTTTAGCGAAAAATTGATTCGGTTTAGAAAATCAGAGTTGCATTGCAGAGAACACTGTGCTCATTTTACATCCCAGAGTCTGATTTGTGTGTAAGAAATGCCAGTCATATTTGTCTTTGGAAAAATGAAACTTCAAAAAATACAGGCCAACTTTCTTTTCTAAAAAAGAATCACGATTTTCTTCTACCTTATAGTAAATGTTCTTCTTGCAGGAAAAAAGCATTGTAAATTTCCAAAACCAGAGTGACTGCTTCAGAAAGCTGGGAGGATTTGAGAAAACAATTACAGTAGGGATATCCCTACGCTGTTTGCTTTAATATTTATTATTAGTGGTACACTCTGAAAAGTTTTAGGAACTGCAGATATTTTTTACCTAAATTGATTTGAGCATGCTTGGGGAAAAGACTACCAAATAAACATGAGTGATTTCTCTTCTTCCATGCAGTTCCATGAAAATAACCAACTTTCTCCCCCAGCCTAGGCATTCCTCACCACAGAACTGAGGTGGCTCCTGAGTTTATAATGTCTCTCTGGGATTAACAACGTTTGTTCATAAGTAGCCTCTTAAGAATCTTTTCTTTGGATTCTCCCTAGTAAAATATAAGGTTCAAACTGTTTCAGCTGGAGCATAACCCATAATGAGGTTATTTGCATCATTATTAGGTTAGAAAAGGAAGCAGGATTTGCTTCTAGGGAACCCAGACAGAGTTCTGTGAGTGTTCCGAAGACCTGGGAGATGGCTGAGGAGCAGTGACACAATCCTTCTGAACTTCTTTGTTTTCAGTGGTCTTGTGATCTACCAGAATCACCATTTCCTCACCCAAGTGCTAGATAAGAAACCACATTCCAGCTTCTCTGCTGGCCCACAAGGCAGAGACGACTTCGTTTGCATCTCAATGTCTCACCTAGTCACAAGAGTTGGGAAATGATGCAAGGGATTGCTTGCCTTGCAAGAAAGACCGGGTGGGGGTCCTCCATTACTTCAGGGTTAGGGTTTCTCATAAGCTATACTGATTTTCTGTGAGGTTTTTTGATGAAGGCATTTTTTTGTGTGGGGAAAAAAAGAGTTCTAACCCTTCTTCTTTTACCTTGTTGGTGTTTTTTTTTTTGTTTTTTTTTTTTTTTTTTTTTTTTTTTTTTTTTTTTTTTTAAATACAGTTAAAATACTGAGTTTGAAGTCAGCTTTGAAGCTTTGACCATTGTGTAACTCACATGCTTAAAATTCTAAACTTTGATTGATTTCTGATACATTACTCAATGTCTCTTCCTGATTTCTGGCAGGTAGTAATTTCTGTGTTTTGGGAGATTTGAAAGCTAACCGAGGGAAATAGTGGGAGTATGCAGGGAAGTATCATCATGAATTGCTGATATAGAAGTTTACCAATATAGAATAATTTTCACATTGTATTGATGTTTGTCTAAAATATAAAGGTAATTGGTGTTTTTTCCTCCTTATACTAAGAAAGATATTAAAAAAACCTCAAAAGTATTTACCATTTCCTGACTGTCCTAATTTAAAATTTTATTCTAACAAGTTGGAAATTGTAAATCCAATCAGTATTTTAAGATTCCTCTGACCAAAATAAATTTTTTACTGCCCATCAGTACTCTACAGATCACAGTGAAAGCATTTTAATGGATTTCAAAGAAGATGTGGGTAGGATTCCACATACTATTTAATATTTGAAATCACATTTTGTTTTCATTTAATGAGCCAGCATTTCTATTTTGAGACAGAAACTGTAGTAAAGTTCAGAGAAGTATAAATCTTTCAGTTTGATTATGATGTTTGTGCTTCTGCAAACCATTGTAAACAGTTGCATAGCATGAAAGACAAATCTGTCTCTTGGAGCTGGAGTGTCTAAAGTGCAAGCTGACATGCTGGAAAGCATTTCCCATGATAAGGTTAGAGACTGTGAGTGAGGTGAGGAATTATTTTTAAACTTAAAAGTTACAGGCTGGGCTTCATTAACAGATCATGTGAGAGAAGGTTAAACAAAAGCTGCTTGCAGAAGAGGAGAGAGGCTATTGAAACAATCAAATACAGGTCTAAAGTTTGTTTTCCTGAAAATCAGGTAAGAGCAAAATGACTGCATGTGCTTTTGAGGTAAGAGCAGAGGTGACTCACACCTGCTTTACAAACAGAAAGACTGAGGAAAGAAGAAGCAGGAATGTGCAGCTGTGGCCATTGAAATCAAATTAATGACTATGAACAAATCACTATAGGCTCTTCAATACCATGATTAGCCATGGTAAATTGTAATGCATCACATCTCTTCTCCTACTTCAAGTCAAGATAAATGCCAGGGTTACCTAGTTTGGGGAATATGAACATGCATGTGATATAAATGAGTGAAATGTGCATTGCCTTGTCAGTCTCTGAGACTCAACTGAAGCATTGTCAGCCCATTGATCCTCAGGATGCTGGCAATTGCTGCCAAAGTTACATTATAATTTCAAATATTTTAGTAACTTCTTAATCACTGTGGCAGACACACTACACCAGGTCTTTTGTAAAACTTTTATGGCTCCAAGGACGTTCTTCATTTGAATCTTTGCACTATCAGTAGAGCAGAATTTCTTTTGATCTCTCCTTTGGTCAGCCTTAGCCCGTGAGGCATCCTAAATGTATGCCACAAGCTTCAGGACAGCACAGCAGAAGGCAAATGACTTCTGCACTGGTTGTTCATTTGCCACTGAAGGTGAGTGTGTGCAAGAGATCGTTCATCTGGATATGAGGTGAAGCTGATTTAGTTAGTCGCCAGCATGAAACAAGATACTTTAGGAAACTCTTTCACATCACAGCAGTGTCTTGATGGCTCCATGACAAGGCCATACATAGCGCAGCAGCTGCAGAGCTGAGGGTCAAATGCTGCTTCTCAAACTTGTCTCCTGAGCAGCTATATATAAGCTTATGCAATTTCCTCTTGCTCCATATGGAAACATCCACAGGGATTTTACTAGACCTTGCCCACGGGCTTGCAGAAGAGCAGAGTGAGTGACTGACGGAGTATTCATAGAATCACTTCTCATCTTTGTCACCAGAGTCTTCCTCTGCTCTTGTAGCAGGCTATCTCATGGTGTGCGTGCATTACCAGAAAAGTGGGCTGACCTGGAGTGGTCATGATGGTGCCTACAGTAGTTACAGCTGTGCTAGACTGCCTAATATTGGGGCCTGCTCAAGCCAAGCCTCACTATTCACATTACAGTGTACTCCACCTGCAGATTCCTCCCTCCCTAAGTTCTATTGCTCAAAGTCAGACTTGGATATTAGCTAAGTAAGCTGTTTTACACACTGGCCTGCAAACAACTCATTACTGACCATATCCATGATCTAATGCAAAAAATTTGGCCTTTGCCCATGGCTGGAAAGGTGGTGATGAAACCCCTTTGTTCAGAGGCTGTCCCAGTGCTGTGTACCTGGGTTGCCTTCTGCTCTCTGTCCCCCTGATAGTGGTCCCAAGCTCTCCCATTAGCATGAAGGGCAGACACTTGAGCACACAGTGCAATCCAAACGGAGTGTCGCCTGTTTCCTCTCCCCCAGCTGACTTTTTTTAAGGACTTTGTTTTTAGGCTAAACAAATAGCTGCTCAAAATAGAGGCTGTGTTTAAGGCTTTTGCCAGTCTGCTCCAGCTACTGTGTCTGTTAACAAAGGCTTTTCCTGGTGCAGGTTTCAGTGCAAATCTTCAGAGACCCTCAGTCCTGACACTTGGATCTAGAACTAGGTACATTCACTGCTGCCTGCAAAAGATTAATCCCCAAATACTGTGATGAAGACTGACACAGAGGAAGGAAGGGAGAATGAAAGTTAAGAAATATACAAAAGAATCAACATACTGGCAGTCTAGAGTTTACCTAAAACACCCTTATTTTGTGGCCATTTTGACTATATGTACAGTGGCAATGAATGTAAATATTAAGTGTAAATTAATGTAAATTTTAATTTTTTTTTTTGTACTTTTTTTTTTTTTTTTTTTCCAGGCAGTACTACTACATTAGCACAGCTAGACTTCACTCTAAATAGTTTTACATTGTAACAAGGCAAGGGCACCCAAGAATGGCTGCATACTGGCACAGCTATTCTCTTCCTGGGTTTCATGAAAAAATATATCCAGAATTCAAATATGAGATCACACACATTATTTCATCTGTTGTTCAATAGACTGAGTTTGTACTGTCCTAAACCATTCACAGATTGTAAATTAAAGTTCCTAGAAAGCAGGGTCAAGCAGGTTATTAATGGAAAAATATACTTCAGTGATATTCTGTATTTAGTTTTCTATAATAAATTAAAATGCTCCATTATAATATTACTAAAAATGTCTCCCCTTGAAGCAGTATTTAAAACTAAACCAACAGTATTCTCTAATCAAACACTGGATGAGACTCAGTGAGTTTTCTAGTAAGTTTTCTAATACCATACAGAAAGCTATTTTCCCTTCTTTACTTCTCACTGAAAGAAAAGCCAAGCAGAAGTGACAAAATCCAGCTGGGACAAGCCTACACTTCTTCCTGTATTTGGCCGCATTTAAGATCTACATTGCCTATTGCCCAGTATGCAAGTCTTCAGTTGCCTTGTTTGTCTGAAGGGGACTGGAGACATTAAATCAGAGAGTCATCAAAAAAAGTCTTTCAGAAATAGTTTAGAAAACTGACTCAGACAACTGTCTGGTTTTTCATGTTAGCTTTCAAGCTAGAATCAATATGAACATATTTTTAAATGATACCAGAATGTCTAGCATGGATATGTCTGCGTGTTTTAGCTCTGGCTGTAACATGCCCTTTTCACCTGGACTCGAGGCAAATGTTGTGCCTGTCTGATGATCCTGTACAAACCCAGTGCCACTGAGGTTGTTTGCTCCTCCTGCGGTAACCTCAGTGAGGTAGAAGTCCATCTCCTCAACCTTGAGCCCCTCTGCCGCCAGTGGTCTTTCTCTTAATCATCCCTCAGGTGACTAAGGTTGTGTGCTGACAGTTCCTGATGCAGAGTGAAAATGAAGACAAAGGACAGAGTTGCTAGAAGTGACTGATAGTTGGCTTAAGCAGAATATATGGGATTTTCTAATGTTTCCCCTGACTCTTCCACCCATTAAGTCAGTTCATAGTCCTTTATAGTGTTCTTTTATGCCTCAAATTCTTCAAAATAAAAATAGCAAAAATAAGCTCTTCCTCCCCTGTACTCAAGCTTTATCACCAAGACAATTCACTCTGTCAAATTTGATTTCATTAAGTGTTAGCCTTACCTTATCACTATCCTTTGAGGAAAGCAGAGGTCAGCAGCCACCCTAGATATTGCGTTAATGCACATTGTGTGTTTTTTGCTAGATCTTGACTGAAGATAATCAAAACAAAATAAAAAAGAGATGACAAAATACCTCACTGTAGTTGTATCACTACTACAGGCAATGTTTTGCATTGATTAAACACCTTCCTCTTCCATGAACATTAACTAAAAATACTTTGTTAACCAAGACCTGTGAGGGATAGGGGATCAAACCTGAAAATAATTTAGGACTAGTGTCTCTATAAGACCTGCACACAGCTGTCAGAATTTGTTTCAACATATTTTCCCAGCTAGAGCCTGGTTGCAGAAACAAATTTTCTGCGCTGACAAATCAGTGTATGTGCTGCTGCAGCACTGCCCAAACTTTAGTGGAAGAAGATAAAATCCAAAACCTTTTTTTTTTTTTAAGGTGAATTGCTAGTATGTTCTTTGACAAGGGCTTGAAGCATTTTTAATGCAAAACACTGGAAAGAAAATACAAAAATCATCTACTGTGCTTGTAATTCAGTTCAGCTCAGATGTAGTTCCACATCCTGAATTCACTACAGGCTTGAAGGTGAAAATAGCAGACATGGCCCAGTGAGGTTTTGGCTGCCCTTTTGCTGTTCTCTTCCTCAAGCAGAGAAATCCAAGAGTATACTGTTCACACATACTGGAGCAAAGGTACATTCACAGCCATTCAGCTGCAGGGTGCAGTGAGTTTTTTTTAGTAAAACTGCAGATACTAGGGCTGTGGATGGCTCTTTATGAATGCTAAGCAAGGGAGATATATCATAAATGAACAGTTTTATCCTCAGGTCCCTGGACAACCTTATTCTTACCTTCAGTTGTGTACTTGCAATAGTGTATATGCATAATTCACTTGCTTGTTGCCTGTTTTCCCTGTATTTCCATTTTGTTCCTCTCTCCCATGATTCTGGGAACCACCAGGGCTACCTCACGTTTCTCAAACAACCTTCCTAGTCAAGAAAATCTGCAAGTTTCACATGAATCATAGTGAAGCACACAGTGCCTTACCGTGCATCCTTACGTAGGCTGAGCTGAAAGTGTGTGAGTAAGAGTTTTGCTAGGTAGGCAATGCAGAATAAATGGTGAGATTCACACTTGTCCTGCTCCCACTCCCTTAGTCAGACCACCAGTACCTTGTGTTTGTTTTTCCCATAGAGAATATAAGGCCAAGGGCACCATATCGTCCACGTGTCTGTTTTCCTGCTGTATCTTTTGACGCGATCTTGAATCTTGTGATTAGCCATCACAAGTCAGGTGTGAAAGGGAGAAATCTCCAACTTGCCTGGAAGGCAGCTTTTTGATAGGAGAGAAGAAAACCAAACCAGAGCCTCTGCTGGGGGAAAGCCAGGGAGACCACAGCTGCCACAAACCAGTTCTTGGCAGCTGCACTGCAGTGTTCCCTGATCTGAGCATCTGTAGCTCCAATCTAGCACAGTTTTCACTCACTCAGTCAGGATGGGAAGAGATACAGGGAGAAAAGAACAAACAGGAGACAAAAGTGAGTCCCAACATAAAGAAAATACATTGGTTCCTTACAATACTTTTTCTGCCATCCATGTGTACATCTATCTCCACTATTGCTCTCTCATTTACTTGCAAAAGATCCCACAGCTACCTCTGTGTTATTACTGAAGTCTGATATATTCTTGGAATTGATGGGTTGTAGCTAAGAAGAACAATTCCTACGTGTGCTTCTTTTGTAAAGAAACTGAAGTATGTTGAAGTAAATGGGCAGTGCAATATCCTTGCTCCTACGGAGCTCAAGACTTCGCACTGCAAAC